TTTTATATTTTTAGTGAGTTATCTATTCTATTTATTGGTATGTGTGCTTGATATTGAGTGTGAACCGCTGCTGAAACAATGCAATTTCCCAGATTGGGATTAATAAAGTATTTCTATCTATCTATATATTCTGGATCCATTTGTATTTAGCAGGAAGAGAGTCAGGGTTGGTTATTTTTAATTGTATTTATTTATTTTTGTTGTTTTAAATTTGATTTTGTTCTAGTGTGTACAAGTATAGGTAGCTCTTCATTGTGAAAATATAATTGTGTGATAATTACACTAACAGATCATGGCGACTTTATAACTGCCTGCATCTTTTCATTTAAAATTATTATTGTACCAACAAACTCTCATTATAAATCTTACAAAGGGAGTTTTCATATGCTCTGACAACAGCTCAGGTTAAATTTAAACCAGCTTCCTAGAATCCAAAAAAAAAAAAAAAATCCAGATGCATGTCACATCATCAATATAATCTACTTGTAAAAATGTCTCAACACTGACACAGAAATACACCCAGGACTCAAAGCCAGAGCAGCAAATCAAAGTGTAAGATGCTGAACAAAACAGAGATAAATAAAAATACACAGAGCTTAAGTTGCATCAGGTAGAGGTCTAACCTTGCGAGACTGCAAGGCTTTCACCGAAAACATGCTTCAGAAAGTATTGATTCTGTATATTACATTGACAATGAAAAGTATAAATGGAGATCCATTACAGCTACCATGCAATCAGGAGCCATCATGACTAAAAGCTGAAGCCAGTGAAGATGCATTTAGAGGCACATTACCTCTAACAACTGTTCAAGATGCTGGAAACTTCACTACTGAGGAGGACAGCAGTGCAACCTCCAATGCCTCTGGAGGATTTGATTTGATTTGATTTGATTTGATTTAATTTATTCTTTCAAACATGTAACGACAGTCAATATGTCAACACACATAATTTCACACATATCCACAAATACATTATCAATTTGCTTATACCTAGTACATGCTTGAACGGAGTAGGAAGAAGTCAGACTTATCCAGTCCTACCCCCTAACATCATCTTATCATCATTGGTTTGCAAGCAGTATTACTACATAGATAATTTTGTTCTACACCACTCTAGGGATATGCTAAAAAATATTACAGACTGTTAACATTCTTACATAATTACATACTTTGATAGTTATCTTCTACATCACACAATTAGCAATATTACATAGTGTTAACATTCTTACACCACACCCACAATGTTACACCTGATTAATCGTTACGCCTGTTCTTGCATATATCTTGATTGACACATACCTTTATATTTAT